ATCATAATCTTCTTCATGAAAAAATAAGACATCCCCTGAAATAAGACCTAGCGCATCTTTGGGAGCAAAAATAAATATGACACTGTCTTATTTTTGGGGAAACAGAGTAACTGTAAGCAACAGAACTGCCTTTTGAACTTTTGCAAATTACAGCATCACATCATTCTTCTGGAAATTCGGATTCAGTCAAATTGGACAATTGTATCTTTAGAATTGCCACATGTGGCTCTGACACGTATCCCGTGGCAGGTTAAGAGTGAGCGTCCTAAAGTCAGACTGTGTAAAGTCAGACTGCCTGTGTTTGAATCCTGCTTCTCATGGGATTATGGGCAAATTCATATTCTCCCCGTATGTCTCAGCTTCCCCATTAGTAGATAAAGAGAATAACAGTATTTTCCTTATAGGATTATATGAGAATTAAATGTATTAATATCTGTCACGCTAATAATAATTATCTTTGTAAATCATAGGTCCAACCATACCACTTAGTATTTAAGAAGGTAACTTCTTGGCGTTGATTGGACCAACGTAAAATCTTTGACATGGAATGTGAAGATCTTCACAAGTCAATCTCCAATATATTTTCAAGATTTGTATCATACATTTTTCTCTGCATAATCGAATTACACTGAATAAACTGCTAATCCCACTAGTGACTTTTCGTACTCCCTCTCTATCCCTCTAACACAGAAACCTTCCACTCCTTCCCCTATCAGCAGTGCATGGTGTTCCTATTTCTTCACAGGCTCCCCTTTCTTGTTTGGAGGTTCTAGCAGGGGAGCGCAGCTACTTGTATACCCTTGACCGAAGGACGGTCTTCCTTCTATGGGGAAGGTCTTCCTCTTCAACCTGGAGGGATGCACATGGAGCCGTGAGGGAGAAAGGGGACACCCGCCTAGCCAGCCAGAAAAGCCAAATCAACCCTGGTGATCGGTGGGGTGACAGATGTCACAGCCAGATCACCCTCACATCCCAGGCTCCCCTTTTCATTCCCATTATTTAAAGCTTAGGCCCTTATCAGTTCTCATTGGGATAAGAGCAGCCGCTTCCAAATGTGACTTACCTGCTTCCAGATTTTATTGTCATCAAGTTCACAGTACCACCCAAAGGAGTTTGCTCGGCAAATCTGGCTGCATTAGGTGCCATCGAGTCAGTTGCGACCCATAGCGACCCGACACAAAGTGAAATGAAACCCTACATGGTCCTGTGTCGTCCTCACAATTGTTCCTGTGCCTGAGCCCACTGTTGCAGCCACTGTGTCCGTCCGTCTTGTGAGGAGCTTCCTCTTTTTTACTGCCCCTCCACGTTACAAGCGTGATGTCCTTCATGGAGCAACGATGAAAAAACTTTCCTCTAGTTCCTAAATGCTTCCCCCTCCCCCTATCATGATGCGAATTCTACCTTGCAAGTCTGGCTAGACCAGAGGATGTACACTGGTACAGA